AGCAATGGAAAATGTATTTATGACGAAATTAACAATCATTTTCCAAACAACCAACCCAAGCGCAACGCCTTTTTTCAGCAACATATTGCTTTTTCGCAACGCGTGCCAATTTATAACTAGTTACAGACAGAAACTGTAATTTTATTCGGCATCATTTCCTGTCAGACCTCGGTGACAGTTACAAAATTTGGAATTCAATCCGGTGTTTCAGGATGGAGCAGTAATTGAGATTACATATCGATAAAGACAATTTCAGTTACATCAAAGTATTACAATGTTAACATCTCTATACATTTACTAAGAGTAATCGTAAAATATGTAATATGCACCTTTTTCTATAGCAATAACCAAACATCCCCCCCCCAGGTTATCTCAATCATTTTTGTTGTGCCCTGACGGAAGCACGCAGATGGTTTGATTCTTAATATGGGAGTAAGCAGGAGTATCTGGAGAAAACCCGCGTGGTCTGGCAGGTGACCGGGATAGAATCCGGCCATCTTGGTGAAGACGAGCGCACTATCTACTGCGCCACCCAACCCATGATCTACTTTAGCTTTGACTGGAAGAAAATGGCTTCATTGATGACCACAATATATTGTGAATACATTTTTACCAATCATCAATGATATAAAAAATCTACATACGGGATACCGGGGCAAGTTCGGCCATCCCTGATATTTTTGTTTTTGAGCTCATATTTACAACTTTAAGTATCTTAGCAGTTTAGTTGGCTGGGCATTCAACGACCAAAAAATAACAAGGAACACTCTAATGTTAAATGACTTAACAAGAGAAAATTACTTTTGAGAGGGTAGAAATAAACTCATGATCTCGCTTCTAGTTATGCAAACTGTTTGAAACGGAGTAGTTACTTTTTTACAGTCAAACGTGTAACACATTGACAGCTTCAAATGATAATACATAAAAGCTAAGCCAATCACTCACTATCATTTTGCTGTACGATAAGAATTTGGGCCCGAACAGGTTCGACCAATGATACCGTGGTAAGGTCGGCCCACGTAGTTAACAAATAAAAAGTCGTAAAATTGGCGGTAAAATCTGACTTTGCATGCTTTGTGACATCATAATTAAGCTGATTCCAATGGGGGCCGAATTTACCCGAATGTCTGTTCAAAACTTACCCCACGGCGGGGCTCGTGCGGCCGTCCGATCTTCCGAGAGGAAAAGATAAATAATGTTCAAAAACGGTTCTGTCATACTTCCTAGAACGGACTTTAATAATAATAAAAAAGGACCGAACTTGATCCCAGTCTCCCTATTTTTATTTCGGACTTAATTTCATTAGAGCTTGTGTTTTATTGTTATTCCTCGACTAGCCGAATTTAAATAAAGTTTATCTTATCTCATTCTGAAAGTTGTATTCTGAATCAGTAAATATCAGAGATCAACAAAAGCTACGCTCTTTTAAGGCTTTGCCTTTTCATATTAGTGTAAATCCCCTTGAATGACTATATGGCAGAACCTTCCTGTATCAAAATTGTAAGAAGTTTATGATACGATTCTTCACTGTTGAGAAAACATCATTATATAGGTAAAAAGAAAATTATTTTTGTCAATTTTAATAAAACAGAAGTCATAAATCATCCCAAATTCAAAACTCAATTGGAAATTTGCGGTCATCTGACTCTTCAAAAGTTTTGAAATTTGTTTGCGTGATACTTATAACACCAGGACGATTGCTGTCAATGTGTACTTCTGATTTAGCTTTTTATAAAAAAAAGTCACAGTTAATGTGCAATATACAGCGAAATTCTGGACTCGTTGAGTGAAAACATATGCATGAAGTTCAAACATTTGAAAGACGTAACTACTTTTGGGACATTATTTCATTTCTGTACTAAACATATATGTATGGAGGTGTAAGATAGAAACTGATAAAACATGTCGATGAAAGATAGAATATTAACGTTAATACATCGTTAAGTTGCCTCTTTGCATATGCAAATGCCCTCTAGACTACAAAATATACGATCGTGATAAACATGAATTATTATTGATCAAAATTAAGTTTATGTATGATGCACGTAAGAACTGCATGTGGATACATTGTATGTCAGCTGTTCTATAGTGATTGAGCTCGAGATAAGTTTGTGAAGGCCTAGTTAACGAGCTATATAATAACGACCTTGCGATGAAATTTAAAGGGCGTATTATTAAAAGTATTGTCAGTTTCCGCCTTCTTGCTTCAATTGAATATAAATCATTGTCAACATTATTTAAAAACTAACATAATCATGTGTACGCTGCTTCATTTTTTTGCATGGCGTTACAATTAGACATAAAGCATATCAGACTGTTATTTCCAGCACATGTATTACGTTTTTCTAACTGAACACACGCACATACGTATTTCATATACATTTCGTTAGTATTGCATTTCAATAATTCAATTGCTGCCTAAATAAAAGCTGGGCTCTTTCTTGTGGTTTATTTTCGATACAATTATCCACTCTTTCACACTTAAAATAAAAAAAAATCCGTTAGGCCTGTAAATCAAAAAGTATATAGCATCGCACGGTAAAATATAAGAATGTGAAATATGCAAGACTCCACTTCGTCTCCTTTTTCATTCATTGGTATTAAAATAAGGTAAAACTGGTAAAACTGATTTCCTCTTTTCTTTGCTACTTTGTTATGCTGTTTATCTGCACGTAATAATGTTGATATCCTTGTATTACATGTTACAGCCTACAAACTTCCCACGGCGAGCTAGCTAGAACGCCAAGTTAAGTAATGTGAATACAGATATATTCTGGTCACGGAATGCTTGTTGGGTATTTCTAGCTTAACATTCACCGAGTCATGTTAAACAATTTCTTTCAAATGAGATCTGGACAGAGACCTCAAGCTAGCGTATCAAGTGTCGTCTGCGTCGCTACACAACAACAAATGGGCCATTTATGCAATACGTCAGGGTAAAAACTGTTGCAAAAATGGTATGGTCAGTTGGTATTGCTTACTTGTTGAGCCAGGCTCTAGTCATCGAGCTACGTTATGTAAAATAATAAGTAAAATGTAATTATTGTGATCAAACCGAGTATATACACAATTTTAAATCATACATACATTATATGTGAATGCAAAACACACATTAAACAATAATAACTTTTAACTAGAGCCGTATATCATTATAGTGATAAATTAAAGCTTATTTCTGTCTTAATGAACACTCAAGAACAAGACATGGCTTCATTAACGTTTCCATATTAAATAAGTGATGATATTATAATTTTGGACATCGGAAAACTATGATAAAGTATAATCTTTATACTTTTACAAAAACCATAACTAAATAAGTTATTTCAACATACATTATACACTCTGGTTGGCCCGGATGTAAACAGACGGGGTGTCTAAATGTTGGAAGAAACTAGAGTACATGTAGAAAATCCAAGTGGTCGAGCAGGTGACCCCATATCTGAAATTGAACCCCGGACGCCTTGGCAAAATTTTGCTAAATCAAATTGACCACCATTTTCTTCAAAACATTTCGATCTCATCATCCTTTACATCAGAAATTAGGCGTTGTTCGTACATTGCTCAACAGATGTGATACTATAGTCACAGAACAACAGGACAAAATACAAGAGCGGAATCACTTCGTTAGGGCATTGCAAACCTTTGTATATTAGGAATGGACCCTACAACGGGTACAAAAAACAGTGTCAAATTAATGGGAAAAGCAAGAAAAGTCAAATCTAGGATAATAACAAAACCAAAGGACAAGTGGTCACATAAAAGGTATATTCAAAACCATCCCGAGGATATATCGCGGTCATGGAAACGCAACAGCCATGAAACATCACACGTCGCAGAATGCGTATACAAAATCGGATGCACAAATTGCGACCCATCGTTTTTTAGAGGACTGGTAGGAGATTTTGGGTCGGGAAGATACACCGGATCAGAAAGGAAGCAGTCCGAGTCCCAAATAATTGAATCAGCAATCACAGACCATGCCACACAGACAAATCATGTGATTTACTGGGATAACTCCAAGGTTTGGGACAGAGAGATCATTTAAAAACTTAGCAATAAAATGCTATAATGAATTCGTATTACTGCAAGTGTAAACGCAATTATATGCAACATTGTAATCTCAGAAAAGATAAAAAAGAAATGATAGTAGGGACTTGTATTCTTAACATGCAAAATGGCTGTCATCATACTTAGGTATAGTTAGTTTTCTATACTCAACGTGTCCAACGTGTTCATCTCAGACATGACCATGTACATATGTACATAACTTTATTATTATTGAATAACTTTGTTAATCTGAATTAACGAATTATATGCAGGAACATACTTGTTTTACTTACAAAAAGCTTTACCGAATTTGTTGCGGTATATAGTTGCATTTTGTTCTAAAATATGCTAAGTAGTTTCAGAACGTGTCTACTTTTAAAACAGAATCATGTGATGAATAGTGCGATGAATCTGTTTAACTTTGTTCACACCACGTACGTGCGTATGAATACCATAGTCACTCGAGACAGCCACGTTGTACATAATCAATGCAATATAGGTCGGTGACAAAGTGTTTCTTCTTGAACAGAAAGTATTTGACTACAACCGAGAACTAAACCAATTAGATAATATGATATTTAACGCACTTTACACCAATGTCTTCTATATTTACTGTGCCTTCAGTGAGTAAAACACATGTGCGAAGACAGGTTTTCTGACTTCATATTATTTACATCCATGTGTGATGAAAGATTTTAACGAAATATTGGATATTGAAGTTGAAACAGGCACTGACAGCCTCCTGTTATGGTCGACATATATATTTGCAAAAAATATTGTATTACATCATTGTTTTTAATAACAGTCCTTTATACATTGAGTCTGGCATAATACAACAGAGCGAAATGTGTTTTATGGTATCTTCTTCTGTATTTCTAGAAAATCTGTATATAAAAAATAAATAAATAAGAACATAGAGGCGGCGGAAAAATACGAAAAGTCAGTATGTTATTTCAGAATATTTAATTGAATAGATATTAATTAACAGAATAGAAAACAAGTCAGCGTTAATGAAAGTCCACCCCTAACATTGATAATCAGTGTACACCTCAAAGTATAAGTAAAGATACAGAATCATAGAAAAATAAATGTATATTTAAAGTAATTAACAACAGTATGTGTATGCTTTGATGTTACAAATATAGTATATATCGTATATATAAGCATTGCTCCATATTAACATTTAAGGCCGATTTCATGTTTTGGTAAAAGTCCAATGTTTTGATTTTAGATCTTTCCTAAGGAAACACTCATTATATGGTCGAACCTTGAATTTTATATGATCGAAACGTTTGCTTTCTGATACGTCACATAATCATTCTTAAAGGAAATACCATGTCGCTATGGTAAGTAGAGGCTATCGAATGTCACGGTTGACTTCCAGCACGGATGTTCGGATTATAAGCAGGAAACCTCAATTTTTGTTAAAAAAAGTCTGATTGCAGGTACAACCAATCGCAACGAAATATAAGATAACGTCATACAACTATATACAATGACAACTATGAAATGTTTACAGATGTAGCGTTCTGAAAACAATAGAGATATTGTCAACATAGGTTCAACATCTTCATGGCTTGTATCTTTGTGTTGATTCTATCGGGTTTTCCATTGTGTAGACGAGGAAACGATTGGAACACAAGATAATAAGTTGGAGAGTCTCCCAAAATATTATCACCTAGCTTATCCCAACACATTTTTCGCAACTCTTTTTCTGTCATATTGGTATCTTCTTCTATGATGACGCATGCGCATATCTCTTCCAGAAGGCGCAGATCTGGGACAACGACCACGACTGCCTCTTTCACCCCGGGAAAACTGCCTATTTCTGCTTCAACCGTCCTATAAAGGATCTTTTTCGTTCCTCTCTTTACTACGTCTGCAGCTTTTCCCTTCACATACAATTTGCCGTCTTCGGTTATTAAACCAATATCTCCTGTGCGGAACCAACCTCCATCACTGAAGGAAACCCTGTTCAATTCTGGGGAGTTTCTATACCCTTTCATCATCCAGGGAGATCTTAGAACAATGTCACCAATTTCACCACAGACCAATGTTTTGTCGCCGTCCCCGATAATTTTGGCTTCATATCCAGGTACTATTTCTCCAACTTCTCCTACTTTAGTTTCCGCCGTCAGGGATACTTTTGTTGCAATACCTACTTCTGTCATTCCATAGACACTGTATATTTCCTCACAGAATTTTCCACGAATTGCACTCAAGTGACTTCCAGGTATTTGACCGCCAGTGGCTATTGATGTAGGTTTGTAATCAAGCAGCAGGATTTCTTCCTGATGGTGTAGAAGATCTACCAAAGCATATGGGAAAAGAGTTGCAACCGTACACCTTTCCTCCTTTAGGATATCCCAAACATTCTGTATTTTCTCTTCTTTCAATATTATTTTTGGATCTGTGAATATTCGAGTAAATCCTCCTATTATAGGATAGAGTGGCGTTCCTCCCAGCCAAGAGAATGGCCTATCTGAGAATACGACATCATTCTTCGTGCAGAAAAGGTTTGCCATGGGAGAATTTGTTATTGCAAAATGCGCAAATTCACACATTTTTGGAACACCTGTCGAACCAGAGGTTGGATATAAAACTGCAGTACTCTCTGGTTGAACTCTAGGTAATTTCACGGCAGGGTCCTCCTCTGCTGAAAGTATATTGCCGATATAAGGCAATGCTGTACTAACTTGCTTTTGAAGTAACAGAACTGCTGGTTTGTTTTCACTCTGGCATTGCGTTTCCTCGTCTTGAAAATATCGCTCCATTTCCGATAGATATTGTGAATCGTTTGGAGGATCCAAGAGAACAGCTTTGCATTGAACAGATTTCAGGAGATGCATAGTCTCGCTGAAAACCTCAGAATCACCTTGAAACTGCACGGCTACAGCTCCAGCAATGAAAATGGCGACCTCTCCAATGATCCATTCCAGGTTGTTTGATCCTATGATAGCGACACTGTCTCCGACAGAGACTCCTTTAGATATTAGGTACTTGGCGACTTTTGTAGATTTTTGTGTCAGTTCACTATACGTGATAACTTTCCTCCCTCCTGCGGATAATCTGTGTACGAATATTTCTTTATCAGGGGTAGCATTAGTTCTCTCTATAAGTACGTCAACGATCGACTTGTATTGCTGCTGATTCGAGTTTGGAGAAGATATATAACTCAGTTTTGACATTCTGATGACTCTTCTAATCACGTTTTATCTGAAAAAGAGGGATATTTTATATAACAGTGATGTTGTTAATCGTATACAAAATAACATATCCAGAGTTTTCTAATTAGCGGTATTGTTTTACAATTAGAGAAATTTCAAATATTGTTTTTATACCCCGAGGAAATTAGTAATAATTACGATAATGACAAAAAAAATCCATATCCGTTTAATTCTGTGGAAATAAACATAGGCCAGAATGTCTTATAAGCATATTTCAATATGTGAATCAAGCAAGTTCAATTGTTAGTACACAGCTGTAAGAGACGAACATTTTCGTGAGCCTGTCCGATCATCCTACAAGGAAAACATCAAATTTGCTGTTCTTTGTTTGATTATAGTTGGACACGGTGTATGCAAATTACGAGTTGGAAAGATACGGTTAGGCAGGAAATTGTATGATGGGAAATCAAAGCGATTTGAGCGGTGACGAGTGCAATTTTGAGGTCATGTTTTTATTTGAAAGTTACAGATATTTTTTGTGATAGTGCATTTTGTATGCATGCAAATTTATTTTGTTAATCTATAAAGGTACTAGATTATTATGTGTCAATCAGCTTTCCTAATGGTAGCTCTTTCAAACGTTTAACTGTAATAATATACGACTCTAGTAAAGTTAGAATTGTTTCATGTTTACATGTTTTTTGCAATCACAGACAATATACTTATGCTTAAGGTCTGTATGTATTCACAATTTGATCAAAAATCATTGTATTACATATCATCGCAAAACATCTCGATATGATTAGGCAATACTTACAGTTTGAGCCAAGGTCCGCCGTCATCCAGTCACAACTTATCAACTGGTCGTGTTTAAACGACAGTTCGTTCAACAGCGTTGACCCAGATACATTGTGCATTGCACTACCGACCCAATGTGTTTGTGCATTGACGCAGATGACACTTGATACGTCTGGTTGTGTCAACAGAGATACACACCTATGTAATGCATATCTAATAATCATGTGTGTATATTACAAATACATAGCGTTACATATCAACGCACATACAATGTACACATGTGTATGTATATATACAGCTGTCTGTATTATTATCTCATTCACTCTTTAACTCATAATGTATTAATTCGAATAATAATATGAATTAGCTTGGTAACTAATATAATGTGTGAATACTGATATTATTTATAAAAATAGAAGAGGAAGAGGCATCAGAGATACATATCTAATTAATAAATAACTAATAATCATGTGTGTAAAGATATACTTATATCATCAAATATTATAAATGTCACAACATGAACAGTGTAACCTATATCTACACTGTTTACTAGAAAGGCACTATTTTCATACACATGTATACAGCTGTCTGTATTATTACATATAATAATGGAAGAGGTAGTATCAACAGTGACACATATCTAAGTAATACATATCTTATAATCATGTGTGAAAAGATATATTACATTTGTCAAATATTATAAATATGACAACATAAACAGTGTAACTTATATCTACACTGTTTACTAGAAAGGTTACTATATACATACACATGTATATAGCTGTCTGTATTATTACATATAACAATGGAAAAGGGGGTATCAATAGTGATACATATCCAAGTAATACATATCTAATAATCATGTGTGTAAATTTAAAGATATACTTATATTTATCAAACATTATAAATATGACATAATAAATTGTGTTACTTATCTACGCATATACACATGTTTATATACAACTGTCTATATTATCATTTATTTCACTTTTTAATTCATAATGAATGAATTTGAATAATAACATGAATTAGCTTAGTAATGCACTACCAGATACATTTTAACGGCCCATATAGAGGGCTATAGCTAATCCTTCAACAATTATAAAGTAAAATTACAAGATCTTGCATACCTGTATTTAGTATTCCATCATGGATCCCATGCCGTGATATTTGTATATATATATGTCTATGTTAATTGAATGTTAAGTATTTTTTTGTCTGTGTGCGTTGCCATTTTTGTAATACTAAATGTCGCTGGAAAGACAAGTCTAATATGTCTTGTTTTTATGTACAGTCCTACGGAGAAATTGAAGCTGCCTATATATTATAATGTATTTTTAAAACAATGTTGACCGTGCTTTCTTTTAAATTGGAAACAGAAGGCGGAAACTGACAATACTTTTATTATGGTGCCCTTTAAATTTCATCTCAAGGGCGTCACTTATCCAGCTCGTTTACTAGACTTCCACAGGGTTGTCTCTAGCTCACTCTCAACCATACAGTGTTACGGTGCTGCTAATTATTTTTGACATCATCTATCTTGCATTACCCTCATTTTCAGTTCGGAACAATTCATGGTTATGGTCGTATTTACGACGGCCGGCAGCGGACTGTCAAAGCGTTGCTTGACTTACGACTGTTTGTACTTACGTTACAACATTAAGTACAAACAGCCGTTAGTGACAGCATATTTTTGTTATTACAACTTAAATATTTAGATACGTCGTCACTCGCAGCTTTTTGAACAAACTTGTTTCAACACAATTAAGTACAAAACGTTATGAGTGACGGCATTTTCTGTACATGATACACACTAATACCGGAATCCCGAAACCAACTTTGGATGAATTGATCGCATACTCTCTGCTTAATGATAGTTTTCAAGCATTGTCTTTTAATTGTACATGATATTTGGAATAATTAATCTTAATATACAACGCATTTAAAGCTGTTTTGCTGGCTCTGTTAATTTACTTTTGGCCTTTGTGAAAACAGTATTATATTTTAATAGTATTTCAAGATGTGGGTACGAATCATATATCTTTAAAATCTCATTATTGAAAGAAAAGTGATGGTTTCTTTTCCTTTTCCTTTTTTTCAAAACTGAAAGGTTTAGTTTTTTTTTGTGTGTGTATTAACTGTTAATTTCTATATATCACAATAAATTTGGAATTCATTCAATGCGTTCTGTAAGCCATCTTGTGTCCTGGCAGAATCACTGTGTCATCAGCATATATGATGATAAACAATTTTAAGTACAAACCTAAATGATTGAGGAAATCCTCTGGATCGTTAGGAAAGAGGGTAAACGAAAATGGCGATAAGTTTTCTCCTTGTTTTATCCCAACATTGCACATGAAAACGTCGGATGTATCATTTTCGTTAACTACGTATGATTTGGTATTTTGATATAAACTATAAAGGACTTTAAATATTTTAGCCGTAATGTTACTATTTTGTAATTTTCTCCATCAGCCTGCTCGCCAAACCGTATACAAGGGCCTTTTGAAAATCATCAATGTTACCATATAACTTTTTTATCCTTTGAAAAATAAAAGGTGTTTTCAGTAGTGGAATATCCTTTTCAAAATCCCGCATGGGCGGAGGATATAAGGTTAGTTTTATCAGATAATTTTGTAAGTCTGTCATTAATTATAGAGTTAGATACTTTTTCCAACTATCCAGATGTGTGATTAATTACCACGTGAAGAACTTTATAGAAGACATGCTCGGAAACACAGACTGGACTAATATGTGTTGTTATGTATCCTTAATTATCGTTTATTTAAGCAGAAGCTTTTGAATGTACAACGCGTAATCTATGATTAATGTTTCTATGTTACAGTATCTCTCACGTGGAAATTAATCACATAACTGATAAGTTCACAAACATTTTTCGCGGCTGAATCTCGCATACTTTAACTCCTTATCAGGATTATTAACTGCACACCTGATGTTACGGGGTACAGGTGGTGATGAGATTGGGAGGGGACTCACAGATGTTTTTTGTACCTAATTGTTGTGTGTGTATTATGTACAAAAAATGCCGTCACTCGCAAAATTTTGTACTTACAAGGTGATAAAAACCCAATTTCATTTTCACATATTTTGCATTTTTTGGGGGCATTATTCATTAAATATCCCTTTCGTAAAATGAAAAATATTTTGAAAACACAAAAGTTGTGAAAATCAGCAAATTTTGTAACCGGTATTGAAATTCTCAATTACAAGTTAGCACGAGTTATCGTTCGTTAAACCGGAAGAGCTGTGACGTTATTTGCGACGACCGTCTGTCACAACAACTACTGAACTAGTTGGTACCGGGGCTATGGATTCCGTGGATTTAGTGACAACCAGGATATTCCAGAAGTTTCCTTGACACTGGACATTCAGCCATACCTGTATGAGCCAGACTGCACCGATTTAGAGGTTATAAGTGAATCTGAATCGTCTGAGTTGGATGTTAGTGACGACGAACAGGGTCAGAAAACCGGCAGTATGGCTTGCGTCAATGCAGATCTTACACCAGATTGGTTCCTGTAAGCTCGATTTTTCAATCCTTGGTAACAATTTATCGTAAAATACAACTTCTTTAATTGTAATTAGGTTTTAAATATACTTTTAAGCCGACTTTGAATATAAAACATGTATCTTCAGCTCTGTCAGTCTGGAGCATGTAAAATATCTGATATCCCTGTGATGGAAGGCCTACTGTATATCGGACTCGTTAGAGATAATTTTATATTGAGTCAATTGTTTATATTAAAAGTGTAGGAGGTTGCATGCCATGAATGCTGCTAACGTTTAACTTCAAGTCTTAGTTTGTGGAGGCCAGCATTATGTACAGAAATAAATTTCCCCCGATATATTTGGTTCTATTCTTTATAAAAAAAACAGACAAAACACACGTTTTGGAATACTTTGGACTTTATTCAGGGTAAACTCAAATTGAGAAGCTCTTTGTAGTTACAATAATTAAATTATTCAAAATTTCAACAATTATACCAATATATATAATAGCACTCTTGTATAACATTTCTCAGATTACATGTACTTGTACATGTTTTAAATGTTCAATTTAACAGTAGTCATTTTCATTTTGGTAGGTGGTAGGACAAGGAGATGCTGTAGATATTCACAGGTATAACACATTTTTAGCAATTTCAGTTATTAAAAGTTTCATGTTCCTACTACAAAATATGTTAGAGAAAGAACTAATATTCGCTAGAACTACGCACTTTTTAAATGATTGAAAATTCTGTCACTCATCTGGTATACATTTTTAAATTCACATACAGTAACTAACATTTTTCAGGTTGTACCGTCTTGTGGCCTACAGAAGATTCATCAGATGGACATGGAGACGCCTTGGGAAAAGAAACAGGAAAGTGATCCCTGCCTGTGCTGTGTCTACTATAAGTAAACATTTCCCTTCAGAAGAATACACAGGCTTCAAGTATCCTCGTTTCTAACATTTTTTGAAACGTCTACTATGGTTGTGGATAATTTCACTCCGGTTGTAATTGCCGATGTTATCTCGGAGCTGGCTCGCGATTGAAGGCGGTGGTTCATCCATTTCCTGTTCCAAGACTAGTTTGGCTTCTTTGATGGTGTTGAACTGAGCTCTCCTGATCACAACGTCTTCCATGAGTTCAGAGATGTAATCTGGTTATAACAAATCAGAGAATATGAAATAATTCGTATACGAACAAAATATTTAAATTTCCATTCGTATCTAAAAATCTATATGTTTGGTAACAGATGCCAAAGTGATTATGGATGATTACATTTTTTAAATTCACTTACCAAAGTTCTGTTTTGTTAAGGAACTGCAGCTCTTTTCTTCCCTTTAGGAAATGAAATTATGTACACCCGTTCACCATCTTTCATCGCCTGGGGTCTTGCGGAATTTGCATTAAAATGCAGTGCTGCCAAGCAGTCTGTAATACAAAATCCAAATTTTTCAACATTTTTATTTCTCAAGTCACTGTCATGAAGGTTAGACCAAATAACCCTCCCTACACCATTTTGTTAGCCTGGTGTTAACTTTCTTGGTAATTATCTAGATCACTTCCTTCTATTATCCCTGTAAAAAAGTTTTAGTTAAGCTTTTTACCTACCTACATACTCTAATTTAGCAGACATATAACAGGAAACAAACATGAATTTCTTACCTTGCTTTCATCTGAT